TTTATGGATCTTCACTTTTGAAGTGAGGATCTCTTGAAATGAGATACAGCGCGTCGTGACGTTTGGAAATTTTTGAAATATCGCAGTTTAGGTCAGTTCAGTAGCGGATCTGCAACGGATTGGATTGTCACGACGGACTTTGTCGAAAATAGTACATACTCCGTTCTTCGAAAAAACTGTTCTTGGGTGCTTTGTGCGGGTGGGTGTAGGAAATAGTCGTGACCAACGTGCTACCTACCGCGTATGCTTTTGTTGTTTTTCTTTTCATCTGCTTTGTAATATTTGAACCCCTGAGATCGTTTTTTTTTTTCAGGTTGCCCAGATAGTGGATGTGGTAGACACAGCAAAAATTTATGATTTAGAGGGGACTCGGACAAACAAAGGGTTCAAATTGAAACTTGGAAAAGAGGAGCGCATCTATAGGCTTGCATTCCTATCAAATTCCAAGTTCACTGAAAGTGAGGTGAACTATTGGCTTGATGCGATGAGGTCTAATGTGAGTAAATCGCACTTTTTAAGGATGGATTTTGGCACTTTTAGCTGAACTTATCGGAAGCGGGTGTTAACTTAAAAGTGTTTCGTGTAGTATAGTCGTTTTTTTTTGTTTAAAGAACTTGCCAGTACTCACTATGGATGTTGTGGAAAAAAAGGAAGCGGATATTGAAAAAGCTCTCAATCACAAGTTTTCGGACGAGGAAGTTAATTGGGTAAGACCTTCCCTGGTCGCATCTGTAATGCTTCCTTTAATAATGTAGACTCTACTTTCAGCCGTCTTTATTTTTCTCATCTACAACTTTTTTTCTGTCGTGTTACTTAGTGTATTTTCTGCAGATGATACAGCAGAAAGCTCGCTTCGTTAAAGGGCCATATAACTTTGCGATAGAGAAGAGCAATTTATTGAAACTCAAGGTACATTTAAGTTTCTGTTTGTTGCCATTTCGTCCTTTACTAAACCTTCTGATATTGCAGTTGGAAGCTGAGCAGAATGGGAATTTAGAGGAGCTAGAACATATTCAGCATCAAATTGACGAATTGGAAGCTAAGGCGGCGGAATTGGTGAGCATTATTTTGGTAGAAAGGCTGGTATCATGCCTACTCTTTTTCCACTTCATTGACCAGGTATTTTTTTTTTTTAATATAAGACGAGTTCTATAGGATCGCCGGCGAACGGAGTCAATCAGGGGTATTAGTTGGATAAACCAAAGGAATAGGCAGTCTATGAAAGACGCAATTCTGAGTGGGAAGGTTCATATGGAAGTTTCAAGTCAAGATGATCCTTTTACAAGAAAGAATGCTCGAATGAAGGTGTTATTTTACTTCTCTTATTTGCGGGCAGCTGTTATTCCCGCCTGTAATTGTTTACTTTTAACAACAAATTGCAGCCCGTTTCCGGAAAGGACAGATCTGGTGCTCATTTAGCAAATCCCACTTCTGTAGCGGCCATAAAAGATTCACCAGTTAACAGTGCAGGTGAAATAACTGTTTCCAATTACTTTCTTTATGACGATCTGTAGTTTTCTGTTCCCGTTTAGCTGTAGTTTTTAGTATCATTTGGCTTGACGCGACAGTTGAAATTTTCTTCTAACTTTACCGGTTCTTGATAATTCATAGTATGAAACTGATTAGTGTTTTTTTAGTGTAGCATGAGTAACTAAACTTTTTTAGGGTACGCTCCGAAGACTCAGCCCACTGTTGGTGGATCAGCGTCCGATCCCTCAAAATCAAAAGCACCGGCACCTGCATCATCGATGGGGGAAAATGACCTTTTCAAAGCACATGATTTCGATTTGGATTTGGACATCGTATTGCCTCGTAAGTTAGATGACTTTTTAAAACTTCGATTATGAATGAGGAAGTATTTATTTCAGCCCTTGCTCCTGGAACTACTTCCGTTGCATCGCTGGACGCTGACGTGCGAAATGCGTCGTCCTCAGCGCCTGCACTAGCATCTCGTAGTTCGAGGCCATTGAGCATTGAAGATTATAAACGACGGAAGGGATTGTTGTGAAAAATAGCTGACGATTTTGGTACTGATAATGTTTTCACGTTACTTCGAATAAAGGAATCTTTATAAAAAGAAGGTGCAATCATTGTATTATTACTTGATAATTATGTAAAATGTGAGCTTATTTTTGCTTTTTATGTTGAGAGATATGTTGCGACTGCTGTGGAGTACTGTTGTGGAAGAGTATTTGTTAGGCATCAGGGTTTTTTGGCGCTAGGTTCTGTGTAAGGGGCCGAGTTCTCTTGCAGGGAATCAATTTTTTGATAGGGACAGCGTTGTATAGTAATGAATTTTGTTTTGCGTCTAAATTATTGTGATATATAATGTTGTTTCTAGAAATAATTTACTTGAACTAATGAAGCTTTTTATGCAGAATGTTGTTATTTCTACGGGTTTTTCCATATTGGCGTCATAAGGGACGCTACCAGTTTACTGGAACTAGATATAACGGCCAGCGTTAAACCTATGATCTAAGTTCCGTTTTATCGTGTTGCCGTATTAACATTGATATTGTAAGTCTTTCGTTGTTTTGTATTTCAGCTATGGTTTGTTGGGAGGTTTGCTATGTGCGGGGTGTCTTTGACACGGTTGTTTGGGTATAATAACGTTTGTACAATATTTTTCTGTGCTTCGTAGGTGCTAATTGTATTGCTTGTGCTGCTGTCTGTAATTTTCTGCTCTTGCCGTATGTGTATACTATTTATAATACTTAACTTAGTTCAACTGATGATTAGTAATTTATCAGCACCTATTCCAACATGTCTAATTGTTCTTTTTTGATGGGATGATGATGTTGAGCACTACTGCGTTTGTTATGGAATTTTTAAACAGTAGGACATGATGAGGTGATTTTTATTCATTATTTCCATTCATATCTGATAATCCAGTGTACCACTGCCGTTACTGTACAAGTTACTAATGAAATCTTTGATGTTTTTGTTTATCAAAGCAAGAATCCTCTGAAGGTTGGTAAGTTAGAAGATCTGAAATGGTACCATCATTGTTACAATGTGGAAGATGGGGTATGTAGACTGAAAACTGCGAAGCGTCCCGTTTTCGTTCAGAGGCTGCAAGCTAATTAAAGGTTGCCCTTATTAGTGCGAATTCTGCATCGGCGGGGCTGAGATGCTTGGACGTCCTGTGCGAAGTGAAAGCGGGATGGCTAACGAAGCGACACTTGTTAAAAAGATCTCTGGTTTTTAGGGAGCTGGGAGACTGTGTTTTAAGATGTATCATCGGGGAAAAAAGATTTGACTCGACAGCTGCCGTAACGGTAGGTATCGAGTTGTGCTGGAGAATATTACAAAAGACAACAATTAAAGGAAGAGGGAGTTGAAGCCGCTATTAAAAACAGCTGCAATGTTGAATGCTGGCAAATTCAAATATCGTATAAGTATCCAAAATTATTGCTGTTGAAAGATGATGGCTTAAGACAGAAGGCGTAAAAAAGATGAAAATCAAAAAGCAATTTGGTCTACCGACGCCAACGAACAATGAAAAAGCCTATGCCAACGAACGGAATTATTGAGGTATATTCGAACTAAACTGAATTAAGCAATGCAAGGGTGGGAGGAGAAAATTTCTGTTGTCTGCCGTACAGGGAATTCGTTCATTTGAATTTGGCGACAACAGTAGTTGATGACATCGGCATAGTACACAGTATATTTTTCTTAATAAGACTGAACATCTGAAACAGAATGTAGACAACAGTTAATTTTTTGCGCTGTGATCATTTAGCATGGATACTACCAAATATGCCAAAATTTGTTGTTTGCATATTAACTTCTTGCCTTATTTCTTAATAACAACGAAATTTCTAAGATGAATTGGTAGCTAATGTATCAACCTATCAAAATAATTAACTTTAAAGTCTCGAACTTTCCTCTTTACGCTGTTAATCACTTACCAATTTGTTCCAAATTGTACTTTACCGCCAGTTGATCGTTGCTTTTGAAGATGCTGTAAAATACTTTTAACTAGATTCAAGCTTTGCACATAGCGCCTATAATTCTTAACTTTGTTGAACGATTCCTCTTTCACCTTATCAAGTGCTATCAGGCAAAGTTTTGGATACATCATTCGAAATTCGATTCGTCTTTCTTGTTCCTCTATTGTAGCTGGACGTTCAGCAGGTGCATGATTGTCTCCATTCATTTTTTCGATTTATTCAAAACCAGAAAAAACTTTCAAAACGCAGCCGTACAGCAAGGAATTAACAGGTGCTCCCGCCACAACCAAATTGTCTTAGGAGTAAACTAGCAGTGGAGCTACAACATACCCGCAGCTTTGACTTCTGTAACGGAGTCTGAAACTGCATAGGGATAACCAAGGAGTATTAGCTTTTTGA